AAAAAAAAAAAAGACATAGGGCATTTCCCACTCCCTAGAAGGCCCTTCCAAGGCTTTGTCCCACAGGGTAAATATTGTTCTGCCTTTTAACCCCACAGATTAATTGTGCCTGGTTTTGAACTCCACATAAATAGAATTAAAATGTATGCCTTCTTTCACATATAGATCAATGAATTAGAAACAAGAGCCCAGAAATAAACTCTCATATCCACAATCAATTAAATTTTTTTTTTTTTTGCAGTTTTTTTTGGCCGGGACTGGGTTTGAACTCACCACCTCCAGCATATGGGGCCCGGCGCCTTATTCCTTTGAGCCACAGGTGCTGCCCAACAATCAATTAATTTTTGACAAGGATGTCAAGACCATTCAATGGGGAAAAGTAATTTGATCAACAAATGGTGCTGAGGGAGCTGGATATCCACACGCTAAAGAATAATGTTGGACCCCTACCTCACACCTAGAACAACACATAAAATAATAAGACAGCTCAAAGTCTGAAAGCTGAACCCATACAAGTCTTAGAAGAAAACATAGGTATAAATCTTAATGACCTTGGATTAGCCAACAATTTCTTAGATATAACATCCAAAGCATAAGCAAAATAAATAAAAGGGACTATGACTGAATATCAATTCTGCTCCTGATGGGCATTTGTGTTGTGTCCAGTTTGGGACTAATATAAATCTGTAAATTCCTGCATATGTCTTTTTTTTTTTTTTGAGACAAAATCTCACTTTGCTGCCTGAACTAGAGTACAGTGGCATCATCATGGTTCACTGCCACCTCCAACTCCTTAGCTTAAGCCATCCGCCTGCCTCAGCCTCTCAAATAGCTGGAACTATAGGCACGCACCACTACACCTGGCTAATTTTTCTATTTTCTGTAGAGATGCGACCTCACTCTTGCTTTGGACTGTCTAAAACATGTTTTTTGATGGATACATAGTAGACATTTCTTGTGGTATATGCCTGGGAGTGGAATTGCTGGGTTAGTATATCCTCCATGGTTGACCACCTCCCTACATCAACCACCTCCTTAAAGTTAACCTAATTGTCATGACCAGACATGCACCACATGTACATATCAGTACAGTAGACCTAGTTCTTTATGTTAACCACCTCCATATGTGAACCAATTTGTTACAGTCCCTTGGGTGGTCACCTCACAGAGCTCCTACTGTATTTAACTTTAATAGATACTCCCGAACAGTTTTCAAAAGGAGTTGACCCACTTTACACTATGGTGCAAGAGTTCTGGTTGCTCATCAGTACTTGGTAATGACAGTCTTTTTTATTTTAGCCATTCTAGTGGGTAGTGTGAACCTCATTGTTATCTTAATTTGCATTTCCCTTAAGAGGAATGAGGTTGAGCATCTTTTCAGATCTTTATTGGCTCTTTAGATATTATTTTTTGTCATCTACCTTTTTTATTTTTTGGTTGTTATATTTCTATTATTGATAGGTAGGATTTTTAAAATATACATACTCTGGACATGATCTTTGTCATGATCTTTGTGTTGGCTATATCTCCTCTCATCCTATGCCTTGTCTTTCATGTTCTTAACTGCATCTTTTGGTGAACAGAAGTTTTTCATTTTGATGAAGTCCAATTTATGCACTTTTTATTTGATGGTAGGAGCTATGTGTGTCCTGTTTGAGAAATCTTTGCTTATCCTTTAAACAACCTTTGCATCTTTGCCTCTGGCCAGCTTGGTACTGCCAGGTTTCTTGGGTTCTGCCTCGTGCTGCTCCCACAGATGTCCTCTTCCCCCTGTTTGCCCTGCTTGACCCTCTTACACACTGTAGTCAGCATGAGTGTCCTGCCCGGGGACAAGTCTGGCTCCTCTTGGAGTTCCTGGGACTGGCACAGAGTCTGGCACGCACTAGGTGCTCAACAAAAGCCACATGAATGAAGGCGACTGTGGCCCAGCTGGGGAGCATTAAAACTGTCAATTAGTTCTAAACACCACCATGAACATACAAGCAAAGCCAGAGAAGCAAAAAGTTTTGGAAAAAATAAAAAGATAGGAATGTTTAGCTTTCTCCCCAACTGGAGAATTAATCACACAAACTCAGACCTTGTTAGTGTTATTTATTCTTGCTTCGTCCCCCAACCATAGACAAGGGGGGCCTTTTCTCTGCACTCTCTGGCTGCAGAAGCCGCCCTCCACCCCAGCCCACCAGCACTGGCTGCCTCTGAATATGGGGGAGACTCCTGGTCCCTAGTCCTTCTCTTCGCCGTGCGTGATGACGTAGCACAGGTTCCTGTAGTCCAGGTTGCCACACATATCTGGGGGGAAAGCCGCAAACATCTGCTTGATCTAGGGAGGAAGAAGAGAGTCAGCCTGGCCTGGCAGAGGTGGGGGAACAGAGCAGAGAAAAGCTGGTATTTACCTCCTCCTCACTGAACCGGTCTGCCTGGGTCATGAGCTTCTCTTTGATGCTGCTCAAGAGAGAGAAACAGTCACTGTTCAGGGGAAGGGCTTCCCTGCTCAGACCTGCAGACCACAGGGGTGATGAGGGCACGTGGAGGCAGGGGAGCATCCTGGCATGGGAGGACACCAACCTGGGACTGGCCCTATCAGCCTGATGGCCACAAGGCCTCAGGAAGCTCTCTGAGCCTTGGCTTCCCTGTCTATAAGGTCAGCTCTCCTCCCATCCCTGGGTGGGCACCAAGTGGGATTTCCCACCATGCCCTCATCAAACTCCAGGTCACTGAGGGGAGACAGCCTCCCCGGGAGGGCCGCCTGTGTCATGTTCTGGACACATGGCTTTTTCCAGCTTGCTTTTTGCTGACATCTGAACAGGGTTTTATAGATTACACGATGCTCATGCTTGGCCAAGGGTACAAAAAGGCCTGCCCAAGTCTGTGTCCCCTTGGCCCTTCAAATGGCTGATGCTCCCTCAAGCTCAGAGGACCCTGCAACACATCAGAGGGCTCAGTGGGCATGGCTGAGTGGGCCCTGTGCACCCAGAGTGTCATCTGGTCTGGCAGCCACAGGCCCCACTTAGGACCGACGCGCATTTTCCATTATTTATGTTACTGCAGGACAGTCACAGTTTCCAGATCTCCAAGCTGGGAACTTTTCACAGACTCTGTTTCAACCAGAGCCTCCACTGTGGCCTGTCTGGCCTGTGGCCACATCTTCCAGGTCCCATGTCCTGGGGGCGATGCCTTCAGTTCCCAAATTGTGTCCCCCAAAGGTTCTTCTCAGCTGTGTCCTCACACCAGTGACCATGAAAATGAATGACAGTGGAGGAATTGGTTGAGATCACTTCAGGAAGTGCCCAGGTGCCTCCCCGGGTTCCCAAGATGGAGGTGGGAGCCACAGACCCCAAGGGATAGGTGGTTAAGGGGAAGGCTACAGTGTGAAGAAACACTCAGCAGCCTCTCCCCTGCTCAGCAGCCTGTGTAACTTACAACCTTGGAGTCCCACTCCCTCCTCTGCCCGCTGGCCCCCTCTCATCCCACCTCCACATGTGAGGATTCTAACAGGCAGCAACTGACCCCCAAAACTGGAGGCCCAAAGCATCATAGCAACTGGTCAGGAAGCCTGTGGAGGAAATTTCACCACTCAGGGCCACCCACAGGGGCAGCAAGGGTCTAAGGCAGTGGGTCACAACCTTCCTAATGCCGCAACCCTTTAATACAGCTCCTCATGTTGTAGTGACCCCCAACCATAAAATTATTGTCGTTGCTACTTCATAACTGTAATTTTGCTACTGTTATGAATCATAACATAAATATCTGATATGCAGGATGTATTTTCATTGGTCACGACCCACAGGTTGAGAACCACTGGACTCTAAAGAGACCAGCTGGGCACACCTCAGAGGTAAGCTCAGTGTTCAGAGCCCAGGGAATACTGTCACCCCACTGCCCACCCTGCCATCTTGTCCACTGCCCTGAGTCCCCTGCCTCTATGCTCTTACTGAGTGGGGGGATACCCACAGCAGCACTCCTACCTCCACCACTAGACAGATGCCCATGGCCACCTCCCCCTCATGCATCCCAGGCTAAGCTGGTCACCTTTCCCAACCCTTGTCACCCCTTATACACGGTGGTGGTCCCACCTCCATCTGGGCGTCCACTTGGGTTCTGGCCGATATCTGACTCCATACTGTCCCCAAACTCTGTATCCTGCAGGCAATGGCCTTTATATTCCTCTTTCCCTCCCTGCACTCATGGCCCTCCTGGGAGTCATAGCCCTCTCCTCTCTTCCCTCAGGCTGGCCCCCATGTTGTTCCTACTACATCTTTCTTGGGTTCTCCCACATATCCAGGGAAGACCTGGGGTTCAGGGGCTAGTGTGAGCCACCCCACTCAGGCCCTTCTTGCCTCTCTATGCTCAGCAGCCCGCTATGTCCCCAACCCACCCTCCAGCTACTGCTAACTCCTCCTCATCAAGCCCTGACCCTTCACTCCCTCTGTTCTGTCCTCTAGAATGTTGTCTCCACCTAAGCAACCCGCAGCCATCCTTCAAGGCCCTCCTTCCTCCCCACCCTTGTACTCCTGGGCAAGCTCCCCCTGAGCGACACACACCTCCATCCACTTCCACGTGCACAGAGATGGAGACACTTAGGCTGGAGAGGAGAAGGGACGTCAAGCCATGGCTACTGGACTGGAAAGTGGCCTCCTGGGTCCTAGCCAGATGCTACCCAAGTTTAGCTGAGTTCCAGGCTGGAGGAGGATCCTCGGTGGCCACCCGCCCTGACCTTGGCCCATTTGGCTCATTGCTTGAGCCTTTGGGCATAGAGAACCCCAGGAGGGCAGGGGTGTACTTACAAGTCAGCCTTGATGAAGCCCTTCCCTTCGGTGTCAAACACTTTGAAGGCATGGAGAATGGTCTCCTCTGGGTCTGTGCCTAGAAGCAGCACACACAGGACAGGGAAAGGGATGGGTAGAGAGGGCCCCCCAGAGACAGGCACTGGGCTGGACAAGAGCTGGGGGCAGATCCCATCCCCCATACAGGGGGACAGCAATGTAGGACTTCCTCCTCAACTTCTACTCCACAGTAAAGGCAGAGCCCATCTGAAGGAAGAGCAAGGGGGTTTCAACAAAATGAGGGGGCTGCATACGTATCACAGTGAACAACCTGCTCAACTGTACTTGGCAACTCGGAGCATTTAGTCTGTGCTTAGCCCTCCTGAAAACTGTCCTTATTTTACAGATGAAGACAACTGAGATTCAGAGAGGTTAAATGAGTTGTCCAGTGCCTCACAGCTGATGTCGTCACATGATCAGTGAGGTCTGGGGGATGGAGATTGCGGGTGGAAGGAAAAGAGCTCTGCACTTGGGGGCAAAGACTGGGACTCAGGTAGTGGATTGGATGTGCCTGTAAGATTGTCCTGCCCAGAAGCAGGGAGGGTGGGCCAATAGGCTGGGTGGCGGGGTTTGCAGTGCGGCCACAACACTTCTGCTTTTATCACTTACATAGCTTTGGGGGAAGATGTCGTTAGAAGAAATAATTCTAACACCCACAGTTCACTGAGTACATACCCCCTCATTGTACCTGAGACCCAGACAGAGGAAGGGTCTTCCCCAAGGTGTCAAGGCAGTGTAAATGACAGCAGATGACCTGGAGACCCTCACCTGGCACTCTTTCTCTGTCACCCTGCCTCACTGGCTCACTGTGGATGGGGGACTGCCTCTTTCCTTTCTTTAAGGCCCAACTATGTCATTGCTGAAATGGGGGCAGGTGGTGTTTGCTGATAACATGATCAGCTAAGATAACATCACTAATGGAAAGATTTTGACAAATGATGGATCAGGGCCACAAACATATCTACTCTGTGCCAAGCTTTACCATTTTATCCCATGGAAGTCCCAGAACACCCATGCAGGAGGTATTGCTGTTCCGGTGTCTGTCACACAGGGAACTGAACTTGCACAGATTCCAATACTTACCCACAGCTCCCCCAATAAGAGAAGGGAAGATTTAAACCCACCTCTGTGCCAAGTCCCCTGCTTTTTCTCCCTTCTTGTCTTCCTGCCAATCATGCAGGGGCAGGGGTGTCACTCCCAGGTCAGACTGGGTTAGGGCCATCTGTGTCTCCCCATCAGACTATCTCTGCCTCCTTTATTAGACTGGGTCACAGCCATCTGTTGCCTCCTGCACTAGACTGGGAGCTTACCCAGGACAGGACAGTGTCTGAGTCACTCAGCATCTCTGAGACTGGCCCAGAGTGATGGAGTCTGGCATACACTAGCCCTACTGGCCTGGTCTGGGAGTTCCTGTAAGGTGATGTGTGTCTAGCCCAGAGGCCAGGCTTAGGACCTAGCTGGGGCAGGGCTAGGGGCAGCTACAGGCCAGGGAGGGATAAATGGCCAAAGGATCATAATGCAGGCTGCTGTGGGGTCTCTGCCTCCAAGGCCACAGACCCCGGTTTTTTGTGAATTAGTTGAGAATTCCCAGTATCTTTGAAGAGGCTTGCTGCTGGGCAGGTTTGTGGCTAGCTTCAGTTAGCACTCCTGAGGACCAGGCACATAGACTGACCTCAAGGCCAGTTGCTGGACTCCAGTCTCAGTCCTACCACTCCTTGTCATGGTGGCTGGGAGGCTGGGCCAGCAGTCCTCCCTTCCCGCCTCCCCAGAGAGGGCCTATGCTCTCAGGACTATAAGCCTCATAAAATGGGCTGAAGAGTGGCAGCTTCTCCCCATCATCGTTGGGCCTCTCATGACAAAATCTCCTCTTCTTAATTAGCAGGATAAGGCGGTGCCTGTCCTAGCCCCCTGCCTCCTCCTGGCTCCCATCCCCTTCCACTAGACTCTCACGCAGGCTGGCCACATTTGCATGACAGGCTCAGCTGGAGCCCCAGCCCTGGAACCCCTGCAAAAATGAAAAAAAGCTGCAGCTCTGCAGCCCCCACCAGGCCTAGGTCAGAACTCCAGCCTGACCTTGGACCCACACCAGCTTTAGGCCTTAATGTCCCCATTTGTAAAACAGATTTAAGGCCCATCATAAGCTAAAGAACCTTCTCCTCTTCTCCAGAGCTGGGAAGGGACCTCTAAAGAGTGTCTCTAAACTTCTGCTCATACTGTAGGCCCCTTGCCCACACCCAACATACACACCACGCTAGGGGCAGGAGGTGCCCACTGCCTCACCTCCTGGGCTGGGCCTCTGGGTCCACCCCTACAGACACAAAGGCCATTTCCACAGGCCTCCTGCTGGCCTTCAACAAGTTTTCCTTAGTTAGGTTCCTCTGGGTAAAAGCTTAGGCCTGTTTGTCGGCTTCCTTTGAAGTGGTCGGCTGACATCACACATGTCTTTCTCACAGTGCACACTCTGCCCCAGCATCTGAGCTTCTAGACTTTTCCAGGAGATGACCACAGTCCTGGAAATCACCCCTACCAGCTGCCCAGAGGTGGGCCCAATGGTGCTCCTGACTCAGATGGACAGCCCCATGCTCACAGCCTACCCCAGAGGCAGTGCCTGTTCTCCCCACCTTCAGTTTTTTTTCGTCTCTGACCCCCAGGTCAATGATCAGCTTCCTACTCCCTCTAGTATTAGCCAGGACACATAAGTGGAGGCGACTGTACTCTCCAGTACCTCATGACCCATGAGAGCATTGATTTTTCACCCTATAAAATCTGTGGGGTTAGGTAGGATCACCCCTAAAGTGGGTTGAATGGTGGCCCCAAACCATTTGTCCACCAGAACCTGTAAATATCACCTTATTTGGAAAAAGGGACTTTCCCCAGGTACAAGTTGAGGAACATGAGACGATGAGATTCTTCTGGATTATCCAGGGGGCCCTAAAACCAATGGCAAGTGTCCTTACAAGATGAAGACAAAGGGAGATGAGACAGAAGAGGAAGGGGCCCAGTGACCACGAGGAGACATAGGAGGGGTGCTGCCCACCCTCGAAGCTGCAAGAGGCAAAGGACTGGTTTTGTCCCACCCCCAACCCCCAGGCTGAGCCTCTGCCAGATTTCAGACTTCCAGACTCCAGAACTGCAAGAGAATGTATTTCTGTAGTTTTCAGCCTCCAACTTTGTGGTTATTTGTTATAGCAACCTCAAAAAAACAATACAACCCCTATTTTACAGATAAAAAATCTAAGGCCAGAAAGCAGACAAATCTTTCCCAGGTCACCTTGGGGGTGAGTGGGAAGGGTCTTGACCCTACACCTGGCCAAGGCAGGGAGACCGAGGGAAGGACTGGGCAGGGCAACCCAGGATAGGGGTGACTACAACACTCACCTCCTAGGTTAGTCACTGCTCAGTCTGGCCCCTTCTTCTTAAGCTCCAGGGACATGACTACAGGGGAGCTCCCCAGACCAGGAGAGAAAGTGGGCAGCAGGGGGCAGCAGGGCAGTGGAAACAGGGGAGATGCCCCAGGCCTGATGTCATGTCAGGGGGTGCAGTGGTTAGAGCTGGGGTTTGAGGTTGAGGCTTCATCCTGACTACTTTCTGCTGGGGCACCTGGGGCAGGGATCTGAGCCTGAGATTCCTCCTTTCTGAATGAGGTTCCCCGATCCTTCCTCTGGAGGCTGCAGTGACTACAGAGGAAGACAAAGTGAGGAACCTGTTCTGCACCAGGGTGGGCCATGGAAGCTTTCAGAAATCCCCTCCCAGTTGCACCCTTGATGGATGTGTCCCTATTAGCAGAGCAAACAAAATGAGCCCCAAGGCAGGGAGGAGGGGGCAGGAATGGAGAGGTGGGAGCGCCATTCTCATGGTAGGCAAAGGGCTTACTTGGCAGGGTTTGTATGGTCACCCTGCTCTGTAGTGCAGAGATGGAAACTGAGGTAGGGCCCTAGAAGGTGTGCATGCTCAGGGACCGTGGCTGGGGGTCACACTTTGCTCCCGCCTGTGCTGTGTGTAATGTCTGCACCCAGAGCCCCACCTGGCCACACCATCCCACACCCCTCCCCAGGACCCCTGCCCAGCTCACCCTTCAGCTTCTCCCCAAACATGGTCAGAAAGACGGTGAAGTTGATGGGCCCAGGGGCCTCCTTCACCATGGCCTCCAGCTCCTCATTCTTGACATTGATGCGGCCTGGGGAGGGAGGGGTGCCCAAGAGCATAATGGGGGCCAGAAAGACCCTGCCTTCAGGTGGCCAGGGGAATAGAGCTTGGGACCATGGAGGGTTCTACGGCCTCCCCACTCCACTGACCCACCCCACCCCCCAGTCCTGGGAGACCCTGTGTGGGGATATCCAGTGTACAGAAGCATCCTCCTGCCCCCAGCCTCCCTGGAAAGGAGAGCAAGTTGGTCCATGTCCCCGCTTTACAGGGAAGGAAACTGAAGCTCAGAGAAGCTGAAGCTAAGGAGAACAGGAGCTGCGGGTTAGTGGGCTGCCTGGAGGTAGGGATGTTAGGATTCCTCATGGTCCCAATGGATACTCAGATTCCCAGGAGCTTTGGACTCAGTACGGAGATGACTTGGTTAAGTCCATTCTCCTACCTCATAGCCCCACCCCTGGTCACCTTCAGGCCCTTCACTGGGCCCCTAGTGGGAGAACAGCCTCCCTGGGGGTGGGAACTTCTCTGCCCACAGCTTTTCCCCTGCTCTCCCATCCCCCGCCCCACCCCCCACCTCCCATGCCTAAGCCATCCTGTCCTTCCCTGGTGGAGTCTTCCTCTAGCTCCCAGGAACTGCCCTTGGCTTCTCCAGCAGAGGCCACTCTCCCCTGTGCCCCACTGCCCTGCTGCCTCCCGCTGCCCACTCTCTCCCGATGGCTGAGCCCAGCTCCTCCTCAAGCTCCACACCTCCCCGGCTGCTGGCCACCCACCCAGTGCAGCAAAGGTGTCCCTCAGGTCCTCCTTGTCGATGAAGCCATCTCGGTTCTGGTCCATGATGGTGAAGGCCTGGTAGAGACACAGTCACTGAGCAGCCACCCACCCAAGCCCTACCACAACCCCCGACTCCCATGCCCTCCCTCATATCCTGTCCTCCTGCCAACTGCTTCCTGGAGAGAGAAGGAAACTGAGGCTCTGAGAGAGAGAAAGGCCTTGCCCAGCATCATACAGTAAGCAAAGCTCAGAGAGAGAAAGAGGCCACACATCCAGGCTCTGAGGCATGCCAGGGTGGCCTCAAGAAGTAATGACATCTTCAGCCCCAAGGACTGAGGGCAGACCCTGTACCCAGCTCCCTAAGAGACTGACATGGGGCAGTTGACTAACCTCTTTAAACTCTTGGATCTGGGACTGATCAAACATGGAGAAGACGTTGGAGCTGGCTCCCCCTTCCACTCTTTTCCGGGCTTTTCTTGGTGCCTGCAAGGTACCAGGTGAGGTCTTACACCAGCCTCTTCCTCGGGGTTCAGCCCTCCACATCTCCCACAGTGTCACAGTCCTGAATGATGAAACCGACTGGCCCTCCCGGAGCCCACAGCAGACAGATCAGGCCCACAATGGTGCCTGGCAGATAATCAGGGCACCTTCCCAGCCCACAGCAAGAAGCCTGTGGAGTAGCCACCCCACAGGGCAGACAGCTGCTTCCTGGCCCAGCCCCCAGGCTCCGGAAGGTGGTGGGTGCCTGCTCTGTGAGCAGAAGGGACACCTTTTCTATCTTCAGCTGCTGCACAGGGTCCCCATCCATTGCTCTGCCAGCCTCACTGTGGCTGGAATCGGATCTTGCTTCATGTTCTCGAGAGAAAGTCTGGCCCTAGCCCCCTCCCAGAGCTTCTCCTCCCTTCCACTAAGGCCCCAAACTCCCCTGCCTTCTCCCCTGACTTGGCCTTGCCATTCCCACTGCCCAGAGGGCCTCCCTGATTTCCATCTGGAAGAATCCTACCTACAGTTCCTTGTCACCTCCTCTAAGACTCCTTCCCTGATCCCAGGCCATTCTCTTCTCCCCACAGGTCTCCTCCTCAGACTGTTACCCCTACAGTACATACCATACTGTCCTGCCAACCTCTGTGTCTGTCTCCTCAAATAAGTGGACCCCTCAAGGGCGAGGCCCCATCTGTCCCATCTCTGGCTTCTATTGTCCCCACCCTGGGCCTGGCTCATTGCAGGCATCAGTTGGTGTTTGGAAATAGCTGCCCAGAGCCCAGGCAGACAGCAGCAGGCAAAGCGGGGGACCACCCATGTGGAGGAGACTGAGGGTTCCTGGTTGGCCTTCATGACTCTGGGATGTAATGGTGTTCCAGAGAGTCCCTCAGAAGGCATTAGCTAAAAGCTCAAGGGTCCCTAAGACTCCACAGAGACTGCCCTCTGCAACCACATTTAGGGCCCCTAGATGCGGTGAGCCCCAGAATTGGCTCTTGATGGGGGAGAAGAACCTGCTGGACTTCACAAAGGAAGTGAAGGGAGCCACCCCAGCTCCTGTCTGCACCTCCACCTGCGCCACCCTCCACCAAGCCCTTGTCTACTCACACCCAGAGCACAGACTCCCTGACTACACTGGCCCCCACTCGACCCCGGAGCCTGTGTGGTCCCCCTGCCCACAGCTCACTCTCAGCCCCACCCCACATTTGCCCCCGCTCCCTCAGCTCCTGGACCCACATCAGGAGCGGCAGCGCCTGGCTGGCTTATAATTAGCTTTTACTGGGTGCTTTGTCTCCACTAATCCTTTGAAAGGGGGCTGGCAGGGCGGCTGGGACGTTATGATGCTGTAAAACCTCTGTAATATTTATAAATCCCTTCAGACATCATAAAGAAAAGAACTTCCCTGCAGAGTTCATCTCACATAATTACATATACATTTCCCTCTGATTAATAAAAAATGATCACTTCCGTCTGTGGAAGACTGCCCTTTCTCTCTTAGACCTGTTTCCCTATCCCTGTCCCTCAAGACGTTCATGACCACCTGATTCCATGTGGCCCTACTGTGCTCCAGTGCTTTGCTGGGGAGAAAGGGATGATTTCTTTGACTACACAGTGGGTCCTGAGGACCAGCGTGGAGAGGGCCTCTGTAGGCCAGCTGTCTTAGAAATTCCCTTGAGAGGCTTGGCACCTGTGGCTCAAGCGGCTAAGGCGCCAGCCACATACACCTAAGGTGGAGGGTTCGAATCCCCAGCCCGGGCCTGCCAAACAACAATGATGGCTGCAACCAAAAAATGGCCAGGCGTTGTGGCGGG